GCGTCCAAAAGAATGTCGGTTCACAAACAGCAAGAGAATCGTCAAATGAGGATCACAACGAGCACAAGCCCGAGCCGGCGAGAGAGCTCTTGGGATACATCGCGACCGGTAGTCCACCGTTCATGTTCACCGCAGCATTCCCACTCCCATCCGAAGTGACCGACTGGCAACTCATCACATCAATAAGAGCAGTGTCCGTGGGCCATCCGGCCGAAGTAAGCTTCGTGCTTGGAGCTTTACTGCCTTCATTGCTAATGAACAGCATCATATTGCTTTTCCTGACACTCATCACGGTGCTCAAGGGAGCGTCATATGCTGGTTTCGCAGTAAGGAACGCGCTGTCGGAGGTACTGACGTGGTTGCGGAAGGTGTTGAGGGTGGCAAAGTAGGTGTACAATTTATCTGACCCAGTTGGGTAGCCAGTGAGCCAGAGTGCTTGACGGTTCTGGGGAGCATTGCTTCCAGAAGACATTTGTTCTTGACCGTAGAAGACTGGGGGGAAAATCAGATCGAATACATGATTTCGATTTGTTTTCTTTCACTGACCTAGGGGTATTCCATTGCCTGAGAGGACAGTCAAAGCTGCGGCGGTTTTTAGGATGGCAGCATCGGAGGATATTGAAGCTAAGAGGATCTTTGAGATTAGTTTTCACAGGACATTATTACAATGAAAAGTTTGTGCTTCACCCATCCTTGCGTTGTCGTGATTTTCCATGAATGAACCAAGCAGAGAAACGTCCTGCGGCAATGAGCTCATGTCTACAAAGAGTGGATGGTTGAAAACAGACCTTGCATGTGGTAACGAGACCGTTCATCACACCAGCCAGCATGGTCATATTTCCTTGACCACTAAGAGCCTCCGTAGCATACGTCTTCATGACATAGTTGTGAACACCATCCATGTAATCTTGGTAGGCACACTGGGTCCTAAGCGGAAAATACAAAGACAAGCCATTGAGCATGTAAGGATTTCAAAGCAGTTTTTCCACTCACGGAGCATCTTCATACCAGGCTTCTCCCTGACTGTAGACACCGGCAGCACTGACGAATGCTGGCCAGAAATCTTTTCTGATGCTCTTGGCTGCATCAAGACGAGCGCCGTCAAAACCGTACGTTGTGGTCAAGTTACGAGCAAAATTGTTTAATATATCTACAACTTGATCGTCTTCTGTGTTAACATCCATGAGAGGAACGTATCCATCGCCCATCCAGCACTGCGAGGGGGAGGTGATGAGAATTCAATGTACGCAAAGGAACGGTTCTGACATACTTGCTCAGCGGAAGTCTGATTACTCCAATTTATCCAGCATTTGGGATGGAAGTACGACTCGCTATCGAGCGGGGTTAGCCCACTCCAGTTGATGTTGGAGTCTCCCCAGTTTGCAAAATGGTTCACAACGATATCGACCATGACATACATCCCACGAGCGTGTGCTGCATTGACAAGACTTTTGAGGTCATCGGCAGATCCAAAGTTCGAGTTCACATTGTAATAGTTCTTGGGCCAGTAGCCTGTTTTGAAGAAACGAATTAAGAGAGAGGTATAAGATAAATATCGTAACGTACCATGGTAAGCTTCGCCTTCGTAAGTGTCATCAGCTATCTGCTCAATTGTAGGGCTAATCCATATCTGTAAGTAGGTATAGGAGTAAGGTCAATCCGTGTCAGAGCTCTGTTCGGCTGGCAACTCACCGCCGTGAAATTCATCCCTTGGATATAGTCAAGCTTATTCTCAATGCCCTTCCACGAACCACCGCAGTAGTTGGAAGACGAAGGGTCACAAGCCGCTGTTGTCGAGCCATCGGTTCGAGAGAAACGATCCGTCATAACCTACACATAACATAGTCAGCAACGGTTTCCTGCCTGAATGATGAATACATAGGCTATATATACCTGATAAACGGAACGTGAACGCCATTCTTCAGCGCTGGCTGCTAGCGAAGGTCGTATAATGCTCAGGCCGAGAGCAAGAGGAGTAAGGAGAGACTGGACGAACATCGTCGTGATAGAAGTAAAGAGAAAAATAGGATTTAGCGGCCTCGTTTCGCCTCGCCAGCTGGCTCTCTAGCCCCGCCGAATGATGAATGGTAATAACCCAGTAAGGAAATAATCTCTATACGGCTTCTCGGTCTTCCTTTCAACGATTGCATGACCATGACTCGGTCGTTTCTACTTGAAGGCTGACAAGCTCAAAGCCGAGAAGGAGAAAGGGAAGATAAGAAAACTAGTGCGCGATGTGACTAGGATCGTGACATATCGCGCCAACTGTGTAACAGTACTAGTATCTGGATAGTACGCGTGACTTTAGCTTCTTTACACTGATCAACTTGAAAAATCACTATCGTTAGAAGCACAAAATCGCGCGTCCTCGAGAGTCGAGACTCGATGCTCTTTCGTGCACTTTGTGAAAATTTCTGAAAGGAGATCTGAAAGAGATCAGTGCATCGCTAATTTTCCTATGTCCTGAGCTACTTTTACAGTACGCTGTGAATGAATCAGCTGCCGCTTGGTCCGACGGAGTCTGACAGTTAAAAAAGAGAGAGCGGTACAAAATATCTGACCAGGTTTTCACTTGCATCGCTTATAGGCTGGTTCCTCATTCGCGAGAAATATGCACAGGATGCTATTTCGAGTCACATTCCTACAATTCTCTGTTGTTCTGTCCTTTTTATTTCTTCTAGAGACCCTAGTATCGAACGCGGCTCCAACATCTCACCTCCTGAAAATCGACCAAAACAGCTTAAGCAATCCAGATTCACATCCTGCCTCATCGTCAACTTCACAATGTCCATCGTCCTCCTTCATCGCCCGATATGTCGAAGAGCACTTCTCCATCGGCAACAATACCTTGTTCTACTCTTCTCCAATCACTACTCAGATTGCACTGGATTTTGCAAAAGTGACTTCGAGCCCCAAGCTTTTTCCCGAACTGCCGAAATTCGTTGTGATTAGAGATGACTTTCCCGTTTTGAACACATGGCGGCTCATGTGCGGCGGGACCCAAAGCTCCAAGCTCGTTCCCCGTCTCTCTAAAGCCATGGCATTGGCGTCCAAACACAAAGCGTATGTCTTGGTAGGAAAGAACAGTCCGCCAAGACATACATCGATATGGTGGTTGGACGAGCTGCCCACGCTTCAGAGGAATGCGGAGGTTGATGAAATATTGGAAGTTGAATGGGAAGTTGAGATGAAACTCGAGCTTGGTGATGTCGAGAAGGCGGTCCGGAGGGCAAAGAATATTTGGACTGCAAAAAATTCACACTTGTTACCCGAAAGCAAGGCAGATGCGTAGCGTTTCACTCTTGCTGTTGTGTCGGTTTCGAGACAGTTCGCTTCGAACGATTGCCACAATAGTAGTGCAGTCAATACCACTCATAGTTGCACGACTATTTTCCGATCTCTCCATGACTGCCTTTCGAGCATCCTAGCTGCACATGCGACGCGATCTCTGATTTTTCAAAGCCGCAACTATTGAGATTTGAGTCAGGGTATGCTTACAATAATCGCAGTGGGTATCCGCAACATGTCGCAGTATACGTGCTCGTGAACGAACAACTTTGCTTTGATGTACTTATGGAGTTATGGGCCTTCGTGTTGATGAATTAGTTCCGCAGTTCACTTATTCGCAGTGCGCAATGCTCCGTCTGTTACTGAATTCAGAATCCTACCGCTATATATAGTGTCACCATTCTCATTGTCCCTTGTACTCAACAACAAAACCCGGTTCATTCTACTAACTTCGCAACTTTGTTAACATCGATTTCTGGAGAATGACAAACAACGACAATACCGTCAAACCCCTTCAACAGAAGTTCACTGTGGAACGATTCAGTCTCTCTGAGGGATCAATAACAGGTGAGTCCAAGTCTATGTATGTTACAGGCAATTTGCTCGCACTGACTCGAACTCTATTGCTAAAATAGAGGAAGACATTGAGAAAATGGTCAAGCTGAGCATCAGAGCTTTTGAAAGCGCGAGAGATAAAGACGGAGGTATGTCACCAAAATCCCTTCCTTCTAAACCAGATTTCCCAGCCCTGTAGACCTCTCTCAGGACGCCGTACTCGGCCGCGACTGGTCCCTCGCTCCCGTGTACTTTCGGTACATCATCCGTTTGGGATTGCTAGCAGATGCTATATATGGAGTGCGTGATATACAAACGAATGAAATCGTTGCATTAGGCATATGGTTTGGTCCTGGATCGTTGGATAGTAAATTTCAAGAATTGTGAGTGTGATGTTCAATCACTGTGCTGATACCCATGGTCATTGAATGATATGATTTTGACTGTGATGGTGACATTTTGATTTGTAGGAAGGAAAGCCGGCGTGCTGCAGGTCTGTATGATTTTCTTAATGGGTTGCAACCGCAATTTAAGGAATGGTATGAGCATGATGTGAGCCATTCTACGTATCGAGCGGCATACTAGACTCCCAAAACAATTCATCAGCTCCTGGAATTGATACGACAAAGGGAGGAACTCTTTACTGAGGAGGTAAGTTGAAAACAACTCTTATTGTAAGTGTTGAATGTGGACAATATTCATCCTCAGGAAAGATCTCGACGATGGTGGTGTATTCACTTGTGCACTGAACCTCAGTATCATGGTCGGGGGTTGGCGAGGTCAATCATAGATAATATCCATGAACAGGTTAAGTCGCTGCATCTCGCTTCACCCGCTTCGCAGAAATGACACATCAAAACTACAGGCTCGAAATACCATTGAAGGGGGATTTGTGGCACTGGCTGCGGGGGTTGAAGTCAATGTCAGTACTCTTCATTCATTGTAGACGTTCCAAACATACCAAATTCTGTAGGCCAGAAAATACCAATCTCTTGGATTTCAAGAACGAGGATTGTTACGGGCTCCTGTGCCTGACAACTCGGGAAAAGACTTTCTGTCCTATGTACTCAGTCGTGAATGAGACGAGACAAAACGTCGGGGGTCTACCGTAATTGATAACTAACTATGGGCAGTCGAATTAGAGGCAAAAACTGTAAAACCCCCGGCGGGACTCGAACCCGCAACCTCCAGATTAGAAGTCTGACGTCATAACCATTAGACAACGGGGGCGCCTGAGGGTTTGTCCCAAAAATCCGCACATATACAGCGCACTTGACCCCTTCGAAGTCGTCTATGTTAGAATCTCTGCTTTCGTTACTCAACTATAATATGGATTTCACTTCGCCGAAAACTCAACTAGCTTTATTTAAACCCCCACGCGAACTCTTCCTTGACTTGAATTCAGGTTTGAATTCGGTTTTCCTCCTTGTACTTTCTATATTTTGCTGTTCGTTTTTGTCCTTGCTATCTTATACCTCATTGAAGAAGGTTCTGGGCTATGCTTGTTCTACAACCACTACTGGCACGGCTATCACTTCGTCCCTCAATGTTCCACGTCGTCGACATCAAATCTTTCGTGCTCTATCGTCCTTCGTCGTCCCAACTCCTTTGGTAAAATCTCGTTTTCCTGCAAATTTTCTGCGACTAGCCATTTCATCAAGCGTCAGTAAATCGGCCAATTCTCTCGACACCATTGAGATCGATACAGCGCTTCTTCTCACATACCTCTTCTCTGGGCGGCTGGAGTTGAGGGAACGGTGGAAGGAAAACGAAGGGAATAATATCGACTTTTTGAACCCTCTGGAATCGTTACTCAAAGGAACACTGGAAGTGGACGGGTACCGATTTAAACTCAAAATTGGACGGAAGATATGGGCCAGCGTGTCTAGCTGGGTTTTTCTGGCCGGATATGGAGGAAATTTGACGACAACGGCTACAGTCTCTCCTCAATCTGCACCGCCCGCACGATTCACGCGGGATATACGACCTCTCAAGATCGATCTAGATTCTGCATCCTATGCGTCGCTCGAAATCATCCTCAAAGCATTCATCATTTCTATTCCATCTGGAGGCCAAGGTCTCGTCGAATTCAGTGTTCTCGCTCCGCAAATAAAATGGTTCAGTACAGAATTTGTGCTGTGTGCGATCTCGTTCAGGCATCCAGTTTCGAATGATACTCCAACGCCGACGCCTATGCTTCTTTCCCTCAAGCATGTCATAGAAATTTTATCATCGGCTTGCACATCATCGTTGTCTGACTTGTCACCTTTGCGGATTATCTCTTGCACAAACTCGTCTTCCGAACGTTCATCGGCTCTCTGTCAGGTCGTACGAGACCGGGACTCTGGTGAAGGACGTCGGAATGCGTACGGAGAAGGGGCATGGATGCGAAAGAGGTCAATAATGATTTGGCAGGCGGCTGTTCTCCAAGTTGGATGGGTTCAGAGATGGGTTGTCGTCGTGAGCAAGTGAGCAAGCAGTGCATACAGTACATATCATGTGTTGATACTATGCACGATGTGGCGGGAATGTCGGCTTCCGATCAATTTCATATGTTTTTCATTAGGCCCTGTCCGGGAACCCGAGGGTAAAGCTACCGGTACCCTCGAGTTATTATATTTCTCTCTTCCCTATTTCCCCAAGTCCAACGCAATAACCTAAGCTTCACCGTTTGAAGTTCACCTTTTGGCCATTGTCGAAGATTAAATCGTGAGCTCCCATAAATTTATATACGTGTTTGTTAATTAACCTCTCGAACATATCGGCAGAAGTATGCTTCTCAGCGAAGCAATCAACGTGACAAAGAAATCAGGTTCTGGCGATGCCGACGTATACATAGGAGAAATGGATCCAGAATGGTGTATTGGTGTGTAAGTCACCTGGCCATTCCGTACTCTCAGGTAATTATGTCTTATACTTTGCTTATTTGCTTAGGGTGCCGAACGGAGGTATGGCTCTGCTTTCCATTTTGAATAACTTACTGTGATAATCACGAATGATTGCAATAGGCTATGCGTTAAGCCAAATCGTAGAGAGCTGTGTCCAAAAGCAATACTCTTCTCCGCATCCTGACCCAATACAGGTCACTGCGCATTTTCTCAATTCACCTTCCGCGTCAGCGTTTGAGGTACATATCCGTTTGTTGAAGACAGGGAAGACTTTTACCAATCTGGAAGCGGTTCTGTTGCAAGATGTAAGTCGTATCGGCTCCTCACTCTTGAGTTGTCCGAGGTCCTCCTTCGAACACATTTCTGAAAATCCACTCACTAGAGCGTTACTAAAATCTCATCTCATCTCATATTTGGTGTCCTTGAACCTCTTCCAAGTCAAGGTTCCAACTCCGAAAAGAAGAGCAAGGGATATGATATATCTTTCCTTCCTCCCTCCCCATATGCCCGTCGCCTTCCACTCTACCATCATCCCCGCACTGCACCTCGAACTTCTTTTCCCTCTCGACTCAATTTCCATTCTCGGCTTGAGCTTACTCATGAGCCGGAGATCGCTGCACGAAACGAGGCTAGTAGTCCTCATCGAACTAGTACGGAAATTTTGGGTGGAGGTGCCGTTGAGTCTGGGTTTTGGTGTGGATTTAGCAATCAATCAGTGAAAAACGGGAGTGAGGCTAAGACAGATGAGGTTCTGTCAGTTTCGACACTCTCTTTTTTCGCAGATATATCTCCTAGCGCGGTGCTACTCCTTCCGACAGAATACAGGAAGGGGTTAGGGATAAGGCAAGTATGATTTTGGCCTCTCTAGAAGATCACTCAACACAAATTGGTATCATAGCTGGTTCCCAACGATTTCAATGACCATCGAATATAAATTCGCCATCCCCAGGCCGTCAAAAGCCACACCATCTTATTCGAATCGAACCGTAGGCGTCTTTTCTTCGACGAGCTTTTTACATGGTGCTCTGGGTCGACATACTTCGTCAACTGAAGTGTGGACAGCCCCCTGCGATATTGGAGAGGCCGTTGAAGTAGCGGAAGGATGGCGAGACGATCAGGTGTGTCTTGCGGTATCGACACAGATGGCAGTCATTGTCCCTATTGAGAAGAATCTGGGGCGAGGGAAAGGGAAGCTCTGAGATGATGCTACAGAAGTCATATCAGGGTCTACCAGTGTAAAATGCATCTGCTTTCTAACGCTGGAAGGCCTCGTCCAGAAATTGCCTTTGAGGATGAGCCTATCTTGCCAAGCACTCAATATATTACTGACTGTGTACTCACTGCATCATACCCCGCTATCAGTCGATTACTTAGAGTACTACTGTAAGAGCGTATACTCGTATATCGGTGGCAGTTGTAACAGCGATATAAAGGCGATCAGGACTTCCAATAAATTTGCGACTTAGCTTCCAGTAGGGGGGGTGACCATATGGCTCGAGGGCTGCTCTGACCCCAACTTTTGTTAAGGCAATCTGGCGGCTCGGAATGATCGTTAGTAAATATTCAAGATACTGTTTCAGCTCCGTAAAGCCTCTGAAGCAACTTAAAAAATGCAGCAGGATGTGAGTGGGCAGAACGTAGACTGAGAATGCGACTTGGGAGTCTTCACCTGGAGGAAATTAGCAGAACCTCCAAGAAAAAGAAGTAGAAGAAAAACATCACCCACCCGCAAGTTCTTAATCTACTGTGGGAACCGCAAACACAGTAGGGAACGACAATGGTCGGTTGGACACTCATGATCACATACAAAACATACAAATAGATAGTAAACATATTGCAGACTATACATATATGCTAGTGTTTATTATGATACAAAAAAAAAGTAGGGAAGAAACCCAGAAGGAAGGAGACAACATTCAGATGCATAATAGTAATCGTCGCAAATACTAACAGACAGCTGTCACAATAATGAATAAGAGACTCTGCTGGTGTACGGTTGATGTACGATGGAGGGAAATTGCGCCGTTTGTGTGTACTTACAGTACTTGAGTCGAACGTATTGAATATTTGAACAGAATGCGTATAACTTGGGCCGTCGGCGCCTCAGCCCTCAGAGTCGGAGTCTCGGAGAAGAAAAGTTCGACATCGTAATATGTACCTACGTACAACAGTCGCGCTTAGCCTCGCTAACAGAAATGGTTTTCTGCTATCGGGGCCAGGCACTAGTGCTGCGCTGTTGCACATATACATGCTGGGCCGACTTAACTCCTTGAACCGGCACTTCCAATTTCTGGCTCGCTCTAGTCTCGAACCGTTATTTTTTCGAACGCGCAATGTTGACGAGAACGCTCCCCAGGCCCCTTACCCTAACCCATTTTGATGCTGTCAGAGTCGGGAGCTATATTCTACAAACTTGATTGGCGGTTCTTGTAGGAGATGAAGACCTGTATCTTCACGATGCTTCCCATGACGGCCTCGCAGAAGGGAAGAGATATTTGCCAGTCAGAATCTCAAGCACGGAGAAGTTCGACTTGAAAGATGTCCTGGGAAGAAAAGGAGCATACACTATAATGAGTATAGAGACCGATGGGATGAAGTAAGGAAACTGAACTGAATCAGCCAGAAGACTGCTCGATGCATTTTATGGAGTTAGTCCAGGGATCGATCCCTGACGAAGAATTTCCGAATTTTGCGCAGCAGACTATTCCCACTTTTACAGGTAAATTCTTCTCAAGTTGTATGGATTCGAAAATGATGGGAGACAATGTTGTTGCACTCTTTCAGTCAGAAATGAGGGAACAATCTACATCAATACGGTCACAATGTGAATTAAACTGTGTCAGTAGTTTGGACTGAGAAGAGAGGGAAGCCGGGAATAATTGCCAACAGTAATGAATCTTCACAAAAGACTTCACAAAAGCAAAAGCCACCAGCACTCGTAACGAGAGTACATAAAGGGGAGGGTATACTCTCGCAATTCCAAAATCAGAACGGAAAAGTGTACGATCCTTCACTTACTCTTTCGCCATTCGAAATTTCAGTGGCGAACTCGTAGCCGGCGCATAGAATTCATTTTACTCTCGATGTTCGATTGTACGCACTTGCCTGACCGGTCAATAGTCGAGCATCGGCTAGTTTCGGTTGGATAACGTTCCGTGGTGAATGTCGTGGTACTAGCAAGCGTAATGCAGTCTGTTGCAATCCGGTTAGGAACGGCGTATTTTCCGTGAATACGGGTGATCCCTTAGGGCTTTGGTTGAAGCGGAGGTTACGAGTGGGCGCTGGTGGGAGCTATTCAGCGACTGAAATGAACAATCTACATCCTGTGCGAAAAAAAAACCA